AGAAATGGGATCTTCACAAGCCAAATATGGATACAGATGAATTATTAACTGACCACAGAGAAACAACAATATCTCCCAGTCCGGAAGCGGACTCTAACATATTATATACGAAAATTGCCTTTCTCTACAAGACGGAGTCAATCATCTTGGCAGAATCCCACAATCCCATCAGTAACACCCGTTTTTTCACAAGATTTCAGAAATAATTAGTCTTTACTTTATTTTTAGTAATAAGATTAGAATCAATTTAGATTAGGAAACAAAATCAATTTTGATTTAATTAGAATTTATTTGTTTCATTTATTATATGGAGTCTTTTATGTAGTTTTAAATTGTTTCTTTCATTTAGAAATTCTGTTCTTATTAGGATTAGGCTTTGTTTTTCTATTTAAGAAGAATGATTGTAAACATCATGAATAAGATCATTTTTATCAATAAAATTCTCTTTTTTATTACTTTTGGATTAGAGGTTGTCTCTTCGCGGATTTGAAAATTGTTCTCTGTGGATTCAGAGAACACACCAAGATGGATTGTGAGGTTTATCACTTCCGCGTTGCGTTAGGATGAGCAATAACTCCATAAAGCATGGGCAACAACTCCTCATAATAATCCATGATACTTTTGTGATATTTTACCGACAAATGAGGCTAAACACACATAGTGCAAGATATGAGATTGAAAATAGGTCCATATCCATGCATATATCATGTGTTCATCATTGTCAAGGTGGGTTTGGCATGTTACTGTCTACCGTGATTCACATGATGCAAAATTGGAAATAAGAAATATAATAGAAATGGTTTATAATGTGTAGCGACGACAGTAGACCCATTATATTTCACAAGAGTTTGAACTATGTATAGGTTAATTTACACAATGACAGAGTTCTAGTGACACAGACGAAGCGCAAAACACTCAAAGATGGAGGTACCCGCTTCGTACTGAAAGTCATGGACAAGGTATTGACCAATTGCGATGTCAACAAGGTTCCACCTTTGGTTACTTGAATTATATCAGTTACACAACCCTTTTGTAGAAGATGGCTCCTCTAATTGTTGCACCAAGGCGAGGGAAATCACAGCTTTCAGTGAGATTTCCGCACTAAATCGACTTCAAATGAATGATACTAGTGAGTACGTAAGAGATGTGGCTGTCAAATTTATGGAGGTAGTATCATCTGCACTTGGAATTCTTGTCGATTTTCCATTCATCGAAAGTTGTTGTCGAGGAACTGAGCCATTGCGAGTCCGTTGTGCTGCTCTAAGAATGGCGGAGCTGTTTGCTATGAGGATCGGATGCGCATTGTTGCCACATCTTACACCTCTAATTGAACTTATAATTGAGTTCGATCTCCTTCACAAGGATTTAAAGGTTGTGGGAATCACAGCTTTACGTACGTCTCGCTGCTCTTGCTAAAGCTGTGAAGCCCTGTGGAAACGAGGACTTCGAGATTTTTTTTTTAAATTTTTAATTTTTTTGGGGGAGATAACTTGTTTTTAGACTTATGTATCTCTAGTAACTTTTCTACTGTAAACTGTTTCTATTGAAAAGCAACTAAAACAACTCTATCACTAGTAGAAAAACGACCAACCTAGACGGAAATTTCCATCTAGGTTGGTCTACAATCCGTCTAGGTTGGATCATTTAGACGGAAATCCGTCTAGGTAGATTGGTTTATTCTGTTTCCGTCTAGTTTGGATCAAACTAGACGGATTTCCGTCTAAATTGATCAATCTAGACGGAAACCAACCTAGACGGAAGTTATATTTCCGTCTAGATTGTTAACCTAGACGGAAATCCGTCTACGTTAACAACCTAGACGGGAAACCGTCTAGGTTGACAACCTAAAAGGGTTAACTCTTTTAGCTTAACGTCACATGCGGAACGGACTTGAACAATCCGCATGCTAGCCCGACTCAAACGGTAGTCGGTAAAGGCTCATCAAACCCGTTAATGGCTGAGGGTTTGCCAAAAATCCTATAAATACGAGAGTCACTGACGCATCAGCTCCATTAGTTGGTCTCGTGAAAAATTCAACGTACGACGTTCGAAACCCTAAGGTCAACGCCGGTCAACGCGTGATCCTAGGTCAACGCCAGTCAACGCGTTGCGAGAAAAAATTCAACGTACGACGTTCAAAACCCTAAGGTCAACGCCGGACAACGCGTGACCCTAGGTCAACGCCTATCAATGCGTTAAAATGAAAGAACTAACACTCCGAAGAGTACATGAGTATAAACTGCTCCTCAATCCTCCAACAGTGCATGAGGTTAAACTGCTTCTTAAATACTCCAATAAGGTATATGAGTATAAACTGTTCCCTAATTTTTTGAGAAGTTCCTGGAGAGTGTTTTTCTTAAGGATAACTCAACAATACGACGCCATAGTCACCTGGATATGTAGCTCCGAGTCAATCTTGTCAAGCAAATATGCAGAGATACGTGCGACAAATGGCATAGCCTGGAACCGAGGCGGGGCTGCTCTCATGGATGTAAATGGTGTGGAGGATGCTGTGGATGACCTCATGCTTACGCCGGGTGAAGCTCCAACACCATGCAGAGGATATCTCCCTCTCCTATGTTTAGGGAGAAATAAATATTAAATTTTAATCTCGAATTCAATAATGATAAAAAAATATAAATAGGAATGTAGTATTCAAATTGATTCAAATTTTCTACATCCATACCTATTATGACCCATCAAATGCTGTGTGAGAGTAATGTTGTCCTCTGCAGAAAGCATGTGAGGGTCCGGCTCAGATTGTTCCTCCTGCTGCGACATATACACAGTTGCAGCCTCCTTTGATGCAGCCTCAAATCCCTCCTAAAGCACAAATATATAATTATTTCATGGTAAAGACAATGTTATTTGTGTTCTCATTTCCTCATAATATTAACAACAAAATAGAGTTAATAATACTACTCAAGATATGTATAACTCTCACCACCAACTCGAGATTTGCCTTGATCTTATCTCGATTCTTCTCATCACCCCTATATCTATCACGGAAAATGCCATACGCCGCTTTCGCCCTCAAGTGTATTGGCATTAATGATTTTCCCTGTCATATTATATATTATCACACTCATAATCATACTAATCATTAAATTCATCAAAACTTTAGACGGAAATCTACCGTATCCTGACAATAAACATCCTTCAGATTGGCATAGGAGTGTGAGCCCAAGTGGTGGTCATGCAGCTTCTTTCTTCTATTTTCTGACTCCTTCGTGGATTTATTCTTTTTTAAAAGAAAAAAATTAGCAAATATGCAATAAATTAATATCTTAAAAGTATAAAGTAATTTTCATGAAACTAACCTTGGAGACATCGCTGTCCCAATACATGAGGAGAGCTGTGAAATGAACCTCGTCAACTCGGGCGTCGAGGTTTAAAAACCTCTGCCAGTCCTCCTCATACCTGTCATAGGTTTCATGTTTGATCTCATGCCTCCATTGTTTAAGAACTGCTTCAACCTTGACATGCGGTGGTCCACGGATAAACCCCGGCGCAGGAAACAACCCACGCAAGTGAGCGACCGCAAAACAGGAGCTCGTGATTTGTTCGACAAACAAGGAAATAAAGTTGTAATTTTTCATTTCTTTTTATTTGATTTTCGTTGTAACCGGATCTTATAAAAAGACCGGATCTTTGTAATCGATAAACTATTACAAGAGTGTACAATAGAATCAATGATGAAAGCTATAATTTTTCCCGCGAACACTCCATAACAAGACTTCTCCTTCCCTTTGGACTTCTCCTTGGATGGCAATCCGGCCCATTGTTCATCTTCAATCAGATCGGGGTGCACCCAGAGGATCTCACCGTTTGGGGCTGTGTATGGGACAAGTCCTTTTTGGCATTGTCCGTGCGGGTCATCATTCACCGTTTTCATCCCGACTTTGGTGACGTGTTTTGGCTCGAACCAAGTTGTAGGCACCGATCCAAAACTGATTGACACTGCGTTTGCCCCCACATTCTTGGCTGGTTTCGGGGTTATGACCCCTACGTCGATTAACGCCTGGATCTTGTCCTTGAGGTGGTAGCATGGTCTCGTAGGGTGGTGGACCGCCCTGTGGTACGCGCAGTACTTTGGATCCGTCACCTTGCTGGCTCCCTCTTGATCCATGATCGCCGGCAGCTGGATTTTGTTGTTCTCCAACAAGTATTTGAAGATGCCGGGAACTTCATCATCCTTGAAGGAGTAGACTTTGGGAAACCTCGGCTCCGAAGACTTTTGTTTCTGAGGTCGTTGCTGCCAATGCGGCTGGGATTGTTGTGGCGCTCGTTGCTGCTGTTGTTGCTGAGGTTGCAATTGAAAAGTTTGGTTAGCATCAACAACATTAGCATGAGCTTTACCTTTTCCTTTTTGGTTGAAGTTCTGTTTCGGAGGATTTGTTGTCGGTTGGCCTCTCTCCACCTTTTTTCTCCTGAGGAATCGCTCAGCTTGCTCTCCTCGGACTTTCAGATCCTTCCATGTCTTGGATGGTGCTGTGCCCATTGCTTCCAACATGTCCAGCGAAAGGTTGTTGTGGCAGGTCTGGAGGATGAATTCCTCGGTGATCGGGTCCCGACAATTCATCGCCTTGTTCCGGAACCTTTTGACGAAGGTGTCGACTAACTCCCCGTCTTTCTGCTTCTCGTCGAGCAATGACCCAATAGAGATCTCGGTGTCGTCATCGAAGAAATTTGTAAGGAACTTAGTCTCCATATTGTCCCAGCTGTTTATGCTTCCTGGCTTGAGGCGGCGATACCAATCGAAAGCGGCTCCGCGAAGAGTGCCAACGAATGACCGCACCATTAGAGGCTCATTACCAGAGATGACTCCCAAGTGCGATTTGAAGTAAATCAAATGCTGAGTGGGTGAACCCATCCCATTAAACGACGTGAAGTTAATTAGACTGAACTTCGCCGTTCTTGATCTTCAGGTTTTCGCCGGTTTCTTCGCCAGCATTCTCATTACCACCCCCTGCGTTGACGGGAGGATCATTGGTGTTACGAGCATTTGTATCCTCATCTTCCACATTAATCGGGTTACGATGATTCTGCTCGCCTTGTTGGTTCGCCAATGCTTGGATCTGTTGGTCATGCATTTCTCTCATCTGCTGCATGGCCATCTCCATCTCAAATTTGAAACTTTCTTTCTGCTTAGCCAAAGCGTCTTCAAGCATCTTGGCCATCTGCTCCGCACTTATCATCAGGGCCTCGCGGGGTTGTCCCTCGCTGGATACTGTATTATCTGATGCCACCGCGGAGCCGGCATCAGATTCTTCATCTGCGGTGGCATCAGATTCTTCATCTTCTGAAGGGCGTCTTGTCCGAACCCTACCATAGGTTGCTCGCTCGATGGTTCCGGACTGCAGACGGGTTCTAGGCCGGGAGGCTCTCAGAATCGACTCAAAATCCTCCCGTGCCGATGTCCCTTTACTGGTCATGTTGGTGGTGACCCTCGGAAATTCTCCGTCTTCAATCATTCTTCTTCTTCGTTGAAAACGCCTAGGCCTGGGTTTTGGCGCCTCCGCACTGAGTCTTTCAAAAACTGAAACTCTTTCGGGGACCGCCTTAATGCAGTTACATTCGGACAATACCGCCCGAATGAGTTTGGAACAGGGGCATTGAATTTCCTATTCTCGGGGACTCCTCTTCCTGGTTCTATTCGTACCCCCAGCACGATAGTACAACTCGTCATTTTGACAGTCAGAGTAACCTATCGTGTGCGGGCACGCCTTCTCAGGTACAACACAATCATTATCAGATGATAATGTTTCCATCTGAGGTTGACTTGCCTTCTTTGGGCTTTCAAAGGTTACCCGCCTCAAAACATGCCTTTTTGGGCGTGAATTTTCGGCGTGATCTTGGACTTCAATGCGCAAATTGGTGCGCGCAGCTGCCTTGAGGTCTTTGTCATGCTGGAGGTGATGGCGACCCCCAGTATGTTGAGTCGTTCTGGGCTTCTTCATCGGGCCCAAACGCTCGTGAATTGGAGCTTTGCCTCTCACGTCAGGAATTGGACCGAGGCGCTCCAAAATTGGTTTCTTCTTGCGGGATGACTCTGCATGATCTCCCGGAGAAGTTATTGGGATTGACGGCGACTTTGGTTGACTCGCCGGAGTTTGACCTTCCTTAGAAGGCTGCACTGGTTGCCGCCACTTCAGACTTCGGCTTCCAGACTTGGCGGGTTGGTGGTGGCTTCTTCGTCACCTCCTTTTGCAGTCTTCTACAGGCTTCTTCAGCTTTGGCCCGTACTTGCGCCGATAATGTGCGGCGCTTGCAGATACGCTCCTCCAGCGTCGTACGGTTCCGTTTGACCCGGACCCACTCCATCGTTGATGGTGTCTGAGTTCGAATCCGTTATATGGTTGGATGACTCGTTGACTCCTCAACCCGTTGGCTTGATTCCGCACACGAGTGGATTCATGCCGTTGTTCGCGTGCGGTTCGTCAACTTCGTAGCCTTGTTAATCCGCTTCGTTGCGTGTCACTTGGCTTCGCCGGTTTTTTGATAATAATCCGGAGGTTTTCCTTCAGGAGTGAGAGACATCCGGATCGGTGTTCGTCTTCCCTTCCCGAAGTTCAGGCCCTGTTTCTCATTAAAATTATACCCCATTCGTTTCATTAAGTATTTAGAATTGGGTTCATGGTAATGGAATTGGGGGACCCCATCGTCTTCTTCCGAACTTTCACGTTGGAGTGGTTCGGGTTTGACTTTACCAAAACAGATCGGCTTCTGCCCTCTCCTTTTGGATGGGACTTTGAAGAAAGCCTTCTGTGCGTCCTCCACTTCTTCATCCGAAGCGAAAGATGACTGGATTGGTAAGGTGAGTGACGCCTCGGTGCACAGTACGTGCCATGGGTTGGTACCTGCACTAGAATCATTCTCTATTTGTTTATTGTTAAGAGAGACATCAGACAAGTACGCTAAAATGAAATCTTCATTAATGCACCACTCGCCCCCACTCGGTACATCATTATTACTCTCACCCTGACCCATTACATCAAAGTTTAACTCCCAAGGACAATCTTCATCGGGGTCTGGCTCGATGTCAGCTTCATTACCGCTGTCCACATCTTCTTTCTCTTGGGATTCCAAATAGAAGACGGAGTCGGTGTGGAAGTTTTCTACTCCTCGGAAGGGGTATTTCTCTGCGATCAAGGTTCTGACTTCGCCCTTGTCATTGGCGTACTTCATAACCTGATGCAAAGTAGATGGGACAATGCGGTTTGCATGTATCCATGGTCGTCCTAGCAAAAGGTTGTAGGACGTGTCCGCATCTATGATGTAGCATGCTACCTCAGACTTGAGATCTCCGATCTGGCATCTGAGTTTAATCTTTCCCAGGGGTCGGGTACTGTTTGCATTGAACCCGAAAATAGTAGTCTGGGTGGTGTGCAGCCGGTGCATGGGAATCCCTAGGACCTGCATGACCCTGTAGGGCATGATGCTAAGCGCTGAGCCCGGGTCAACTTGAACACGACTGATTTCGGAGGATCCGATATATCCTGTGTAGTACAGTGGTCGGTCATGTTCATGTTTGACCTGCATGTCTTCTTGCGTGAACGATATGCAGGGTAGACTTCTCGCCGCTTGCAGACATTGCAGACAAGTTTGATCATCAGAGGCTTCGGGAGCCGGGGTGACTTGGGTGATGAAGCTCTCTGTATTCTTCAGGGCTTCAATCAGAGCTTCCTTGGTAGTTTTGGATAACCTTAGGAGCTCATATAAAGTAATCCTGGCCGGTATGTTGGCCAGCTGCGCCATGACGTTGAATTGGAAGGGAGCGCTCGACTCTCCGGATTCTTGGTGGAGATTTTTGTTGAATCGGAGCTCCTTCTATTTTCCTTTGTCAACTGGCTTTTTCGGGGCAGAACCCCTAGCGTCTTGGGGCTGTTCTTCAGCTTCTGGAGCGTTCTGGCCGTAATCCCTCAAGTAAGCTTTTCCTGACCGAGTGCCAGGATTGCCTTCTGGGTATGCTGCTAGGACAATCCTCTCCTCTTCTGAATCGGTAAGAGGTTTGAGGTGGTCATCATTTTCAGTAATGGAGGGGCTAATCATGTTAGAAGACTTAGCCTTGCCTCCCCTCTTTCCAGACGAGGTGCTCGTCCACTGTTGATCTCCTAGCAGGTCAGGGTGGACCCACATGATTTCCCCTTTTGGGGTAGTGAGGGGCACCAACCCCCTGTCTTTCTGACTATGCGGGTCAGTATTCTTCAAACGCATTTCTCCCTTACGAATGGGGACGACGCCATTCGCCATTACCACCGAGGGAAGTCACCGAATTGGACCGCTATCATGTTAGTTGATACGGTCTTCTGCTCCGGCTTCAAGGTGAGTACATTAGCATTCACCAAATTCTGCAAGATGTCTTTGAAGACATAGCACTTTTTGGTAGGATGTCCAAGGAATCTGTGATAACGACAATAGTTGGGGTCATCCACTTTCCCTGCTTCATCCGGCTTCCTGATCTCAGGCAATTGCAGC